ACCAGCAGTTCCCCAGGAGCCCCTGCAGGATGTCCGAGGGCCGCAGCCGGCAGAACACGGACCATGGCACATTGGCAGGGTCCTTGAAGACAGAGCAGTTGATCTCATGGGGCCGCAGCCACTGCCGGACGCGCTGCTGGACGCCATCGCCCTCGGGGAAGCCCACGGAAGCGGGTCCCGGTGGGAAGCTGTCATCCACAAAGCTGACGCCGTTCTGCAGAAACAGTGTGGTCAGGCCTGCCGAGGACACTGCCTGGCCCACAGACGGTGCCGAGCTGGCCGATGGGAGCTACCCATTTTCTTCCTCAACTGGGGCGCTGGGGGGTAAGGGCCAGCCACCCGAGCTCATGGGTGATGCTGGCGGCAGCCCCCACCTCTCGGCAGAAGGCCACGATGTGCTCCCACAGGGCCTTGGCCTCGCCCTCGTCCGTCTGCCGCCGCTTTTCCACCAGCACGCTTTCCCGGCGGCGCAGGGGGGTGGCACCCTGGCGCTTGGCCTCCAGCAGCTGCGGGGTGTGGCAGGCGGCGCAGTGGCGTGCTCGGGGCGCGTTGAGCAGTGTGCAGGCTGGGCAGGCCCACTGGTCCCGGCGTTCGGCTGGAGCAGCGGGCAGCAGGCGGGCAGCCTTACGGGTGGAGGGGGGGCGGCCGCAGCAGGTGCTGCCACAGGGCCGGGGCCGCTCGGCGCCACAGTCGGGGCAGCGGGCGGGGCCCTCACCACGCTCCTGGAAGCCATGCAGCTTGGAGCAGCCACAGGCAGAGCAGCGGGTGGCCGCAGTGGGGTTGCGCAGCGTGCACTGGGCGCAGGACCAGGTGGTGAAGTCTGGGCTGGAGGGGCTGGCGGGGGTGTAGCGCACGGAGTCCCCCGTCAGGTCGATGATGTCCCGGCCCGGCGTGGCGCTGCTGCCCTCATTGGGCGTGCTTGTGCCGCTCTCGGCTGCCGTCTCCAGCCCACCCAGCCGAGGGCCGCACAGCAGCTCTGCCACACGGGAGGGCCCAGGAGGAGCCCGGCCCGGGCCTTGGGGGGCCTTGGGGCTGGCGGAGGGCTGAGTGCCCTCAGGTACCAAGGGCTGTGGCTGGGGGGGCACCTCCCGGCGGCTCCGGGGCACAGGGTGGTTCTGCAGTGGGGGTGAGAAGGGGCTGAAGGGTACCACTCTGGGGGGCTCCTGGTCGGCTGGGGGTATACCCTGGCTGGTGGAGGTGGGGGTGGCCTCGGTGTTGTCCCCGGGCAGGCCTGCTGGGGGTGGGGTAGGGCTGGCATGGAAGCCGACAGGGGCCACCACCTCAGGAACCACCAGCGCCTCTGGGGGGATCCTGGGCAGTGACAGTCTCCGGGGGCCCCCACAGGCAGAGCAGGAACTGGCCACAGGGGTGTTGTG